AAGGCAAAAACCGATAGATCTAAAAGGAGAAACTAACAAATTCATAATTAAAACTGGAAATCAACAACCTTCTCAATAATTCATAGAATAGGTATGTAGAAAATCAGTTAAGGACAAAGATAAGTCCAATATCAAACAACTTGACCTAAATGACATTCACAGAACACTTCATCCAACAACAGCAGTGTTGTTCTATATATTCACTTAAGACTTTTCAATAGTTTGGTTTAAGTATATAGTAGGATTAAGAGGTAAGCGAAATAGTCCAGTCAGAGAAAGATAAATATTACATGATCTCACTCATTTATGGAACATAATGAACATCATAAACTGATTAACAAAAACAGATCCAGAGACAGAGAAGCATCGATCTGACTGCCAAACCTCAGGGGAAGGTAGGGGAGAGTGGGGGTAAGGGAGAGAGATCAACCAAAGGACTTGTATGCATGCATTTAAGCCTAACCAATGGACACAGACAACAGGGCAGTGAGGGCATGAGTGGGCGGTTGGGGCAATGGAAGGATAAGGACACATATGTAATACCTTAATCAATAAAGAAAAAAGAAAATAAAAAAAGAGATAACATTTTTTTAATTATGGAAAAATACGTAAAATTTGCAATCTTAACCATTTAAGTGTACAGTTCAGTGGTGTTATGTATATTCCCATTGTTGTGAAACAGATTTTTTTAAACTTGCAAACTGAAACTCTATATCCAATAAATGACAATTCCTTGCTCCAGGTAACCACCATTTTTCCTTTCATTTTCTATGAATTTGACTACAAATTATCTACGTGGAACTATATAGTACTTGTCTTTTTGTAGCTGGCTTATTTCACTTTCCATAATATCTTCCAGATTCACCCAGGTTGTAGCATGTGACAGGTTTCCTCCGTCTGTTTTTTTTTAACCCTCACCTGAGGATATGCATTGTGTGTGTGTGTGTGTGTGTGTGTGTGTGTGTGTGTGTGAGAGAGAGAGAGAGAGAGAGAGAGAGAGAGAGAGAGACATCGATGTGAGGAACATTGATTGGCTGCCTCCTGTACACACCTGATCAGATATCTAACCCACAACCCAGGCATGTGCCGAGTAGGAATCAAACCCACAACCTTTTGGTGTACAGGACAATGCTCCAATCCAACTGAGCCACCTTTTGTTTATCACCCATCTATCAATGGACAGTTTGGGTTGTTTCCACCTCTTGACTATTATGAAAAGTGCTATCGGTGTGCAAAAATCTCTTTGAAACATTACTCTCAATTCTTTTGGATAAATACACGGAAATAGGATTGTTAGATCACATGGTAGTTCTATTTTTAATTGTTTGAGGAACCACCATACTATTTTCTATATTGGCTGTAACATTTTACACTCGTACTAGCAGTACACAGGGTGCCATTTGTCCACATTATTTTAGTTTTTTGTTTTTTTTTAAAATATAGTTGCCATCCTAATGGGTGTAGGGCGACATCTCTTTTTGGTTTTGAATTTTCTTTGATGACTAATAATGTCAAGGATCTTTTCATATGCTTATTGGATATTTGTATGAGATAACATCTTTTGATTTTGCTTAAGAGCTTTGTCTGAACTTGTCATTGAATGACTGTTTGATCTCAAAGGGATCTACATCTGCAAAATTAGGCATTTAAAATCTAGGGCAGTTTCTCTTGTCAGCAAATCTGTAACACACTTATAATTTACTGAAACATATTCCATTACCATTAACTCTTCAAAAGGAAAAACAGTATCTTTGATAACGGGGGGTATAGTTAACATAAATAGGAGTATAATATTACCCCCTAATGTTAAGTAAAGCCTACGGGTTGATGGTGTTGTTGCATTCTTCTGTATCCTTGTTGATTTTGTTTAGTTGTTCTATCAAATTGTTGAGAGAGGGGAATTAAATTCTCCAGTTATATTTTTGGATTTTTCACTTTCTCCTTTTAGATCAGGGATGAGGAATGTCCGGCGTATAGGCTGTGTAAGGCCCGTGAAATCATTTGGTCTGGCCCTGCCAAGTCATTAGGGATGAGTTAATTAAATGTTTGACCAAATATAGGAGGTTAATTTTAACTTGGTAATTTTGTATGGCCCTTGAATGATGTTATAAATATCTAAATGGCCATTGGCAGAAAAAAGTTCCTCACCAGTTTTAGATCTATCAGTTTTTGCTGCACATATTTTGTAGCTCTGTTTTATGGCACATACCCTATAAGTACAGCTAGGTCTTCTTGATGGATTCACTCATTTATCACTATATAATGTCCCGCTCTATCCCTGGTAATTAATTGTCTTTGCTCGGAAGTTTACTTTATCTGATATTAACAGAGTAACTCCTACTCTCTATTAATATTTGCATGCTCTATCTTCTTCCATCCTTTTCATATATATATGTAATTATTTTTGAAGTGAGTTTTTTTGTAGATAAGACACACTTGGCCTGTGTTGTTTATTCCACCTACAAAGTTTCACATGTGTTCATAATTGTTCATTAAAAATTATATGATGGCCCTAACCGGTTTGGCTCAGTGGATAGAGTGTCGGCCTGTGGACTCAAGGGTCCCAGGTTCAGTTCCGGTCAGGGGCATATACCTTGGTTGCGGGCACATCCCCAGTAGGGGGTATGCAGGAGGCAGCTGATGGATATTTCTCTCTAATCGATGTTTCTAACTCTCTCTCCCTCTCCCTTCCTCTCTGTAAAAAACCAATAAAATATATTTTAAAAAAAATTATATGATGGGTACTTTAAAATATTTGTCCAAAAATTCTAATATCTGTGTAATCTTGGTGTTGACTATCTATTGGCTGTTCGTTCTCATTCAGTTTGAAATCTTTCTGGTTCTGGGTGAGACAAGTAATTTTAAAATCTGGACATTTGAGAGCATTGTAAGACTCTGGATTTCATTTAATTCTTGTGTTTTAGCAGGCTTTCCCTGGCACCACACTTGTGTTTGAAATGGGCACCAACTCATGACTCCCAGGTAGGGTGGAGGTTTAGGTTCTCCACTAGGCACCATTAACGTGGAGGGGCTCCATGTTACTGTTGGATGGGGATGGAAGGCTTCCCACTAGGCTTCCACTGGTACTACCTCCAGTGGATGGGGATGAGTACCTCATTATCCCCCATGGACTAGGGTAAAGTCCGGATGTATACTGGACCCTAATTAGCTTAGGGTAACTGTGACCTCAAAGTTATTCTTAGCCTTTATCTGCCTTGACCTCTATTGATACCACTAAATGTGTCCAGCTTTACAGCATTTACCTCCCTTTAATTTTATGACCTCACTCTCTCTGGATTTTTCTTCTTAACCTCTCAAATACCTTCAGAATTTATTCATGGGAGCCTCTGTCTTCCCTGTCTATCTAACTCTACTATCCAGGTTCTGTCCTTATAGCCTTTTCTCATTTTTTTTATCCCTACCTAAACAATTTGATCAATTTTCTTTTCTATTTATTTATTTAAAATATATTTTTATTGATTTTAGAGAGGAAGGGAGAGGGAGAGATAGAAACATCAATTATGAGAGAGAATCACTGATCGGCTGCCTCCTGCATGCCCCCTATTGGGGAATGAGCCCTCAACCCAGGCAAGTGTCCTTGACCGGAATCAAACCTGGACCCTTCAGTTCACATGCCAACGCTCTATCCACTGAGCCAAACCAGCCAGGGCTTGATCAATTTTCATAATTAAACTACTACTTGTAAAGTAAAGCCTCCTAACCACATGTCCAGCCAGAACTCAAATGACATCCAGAACCATATATTCAACGGTTTATTGGCACTCTCCCTTTTGCTGTATCAGACATCTAGAAGGGATATCTCCCCCTCCTCTACCCAAACCTATTCTGCTTCTGCATTCACTGCTTCAATTAGTGGCAAAATCATTTAGCAGGTCTCTGTAGTCAGAAAACTAGGAGTTATTTGGCACCATTTTTATCCTTCTTAATACCCATTCAATCAGGCTTGGAGTCCTGCTAAACAACTCTACCTCTTAAAAACATTTTATTATTTCCTTTTCCCTCAAACAAAAATGACCTAATTAGGCTTCTTAGATCACTTTAATTAAATTTCTTTAAATCATTTCTCATCTAGAATTCCATAATAAAAATGCTTATCAAAATGATATTAAGGAAATACACTTATGATATGACTTCTCTCATCAATACTTATCACTCGTTATAACAATGTTTTCTTTCCCCAAACAGTGGACTGCAACTATTAGTAGGCTATAAAATCATTCAGCAGCTTTTAATAATCAGATTTCTAAAAATTGTTTTATGAGATACATTTGAATAAACTAGAAAGTATTGTAAAGCTCTAAGCACACTGGTATTTAAGTTGTTTTGTTTCATATACACACCATTTTATATCACAAACCAGTAAACACATACAAATTTATACATGTATAAACACACTGCACATACATGTATATGCATGTGTATACTGGGTCATGATGTAAGCTCTTCCAGGGAAGCTCCTTGGTCCCTCATATTTCCCAATCTCTAAAGAGAATGAAACATTCTTTTTTCTACTTTGTCTTCTATTATTGCTTCAATCCCATATTTGTGTTCCCTACAAGAATAAACTTCTAACACAAGTTCTTGGTACATAAGCTGGCACTTGAACATTTACTGAAGGAAATGAGTGAGATCATACGTTTGTGCTTGCTCAAAAAATTAATACCTACCCTAGGGTAGTAACAATTTTTAAAGGCTTAAAACACTGAAAAAATAACAACATAATAAGCTGTCATTTAAAAACACTTTGCATGTGCCAGGGACTTTTCCTAGTGCTTAACATGTATTATCTTATTTAATCCTTACAACCTTTTTAGATATAATTTTTAAAATGAGGAACCACAGGTAGAGACATTAAATAACTTCCCACACTAAATGGCAATGATGGCATTCAAAACAAAAAACGTTTTGACTCAGAAAACAAAGATACACATTATAGAATGCTAAAGAGTTGCTAAAAGGTTAGCAGAAAGTTAACTTACTTCAAATAAAAGTCTATAATAACATCATTTAAAAATTCTCCTTCACTTAGACAGTGCAGGTCCTCATTAGTAACAGAGATGCCTCCCTTAGCTGGAGGTGGTGGATATACTATCAACCTGTAACAAAAATTTTTAAAAAAGCAGATTATCAAATATTTGTGTGTGTATATATGTAACCGAAAAGCAATAAAACAGAGAAGAAATTTAAGGGTGTTGCAAATGTGAAGGAATTCTCTCACTTTTCTACAGGACCCATAAAGATGGTGTGACCCTCTCCAGGTTCTTCGTCATCATCAAAAAACTGAAATTGTTTGCTTCTAAGTTGTATTCTAGATTCCAGGGGCACCTGGAAAAGGAAATTAAATAATCAATTCAAAGTCAACTGGGAAATTTTTCAATAAAAAGAGCAAGCACAAGGCAAGAATGTTTTTTAATTAAAAAGGATTAAAAATATGAATCTAAAAAGTATGCATGATTTTTTAAAAAGAAACAGGAAAAAACAAGGGTCCACTTATTTATTTATAATTTCTGGTACACTGATACTCTTGAATTTTTGAAAAAATGCTCTCTGGTATCTTGTCTGAAATCTCTATGTCCATATTAAATTAGGTTATGTTAGTAAAATCCAAAGAACAGATATAGTATTTTTTTCTTCTGGCAGGGAAGACAAGGCAATCCATAGGATATGGAGCAGAGGCTGAGGGAGCTTCAGTTCTCCAGAGTTAAGGAGTTAAAGGAAGAGTCTTCCACTGAAATTTGAGCCCATCCCAGCTACCTCATGGCTCTAGCTGCTCTTTTTTCCTTTAGAATTATCTCCTGCAGACAATTTTTCAAAAGAAGGAGAATGATTCCCCTTTCTTATTCTGCTCTTTTCCTCAACTTCTCTGGTGAGGCCCTGCCAACTTCACTAAGATTGTGCCTTGGATAGCCCTATCTCCAAGTGTGTAGCCAGGGAGAAAGATTTTTGTGTTCCCAATAAATTAAGTCAGTAAAATTCAGCTGCTGTGATAAGGGACAAATTTTGAGTATTTAAGTTATATTTGTATGATTCAGGTGGCTTCAGAGTTACCTACTATATTAGTTATTCTAGAACTGGATGCATATGATGGTAGGTATTCTTCATTTCCCAAGTTTTCAACCATGTATGTACATGTTACATATAAGCCCTACATCAGGGACCAAAACTCCTTTATTTTTATTGAAGCCTATGGCATCACTGGAAACCAGCAGGGCAATAACAGACTGGAATATAGCAGTAATGTATATGTATGTTGAAAGAGGGAAAAAAAAAGAGAGAAAAAGGAGATGAAAAGTAAAGAAAAGAAGAATAGAGTATGGAGCCCAGCCTGAGTGGCTCAGTGGTTGAGCACTGACCCATGCATTGAGAGGTCACCAGTTTGATTATCAGTCAGGGCAATTGCCTAAGTTGCAGGCGCAATCCCCAATGGGGAATGTGCAGGAGGCAGTCAAAATATACTTCTCTCTCTCCCTTCCTCTCTCACTAAAATCAATAAAAATATATTAAAAAAAAGAAAAAAAAGAATAGAGTATGGAAAGGAACTAAAAATGCTTCTAAGACCTGTACCAAGCACTATTTTTGTCACAAAGTCACCTATTCACCATTATATTTTGACACAACATAGTTTACAAATTGCATATAAAAGCAAATAATTCTGAGATGGAATTTAAAAAAATCTAACTCTGAAATGAATAGTATCATAATAAAATGTATTTCCCTTTAAAGCTATATGTTATTTAAGATTATATTTTTAAAATTAAAAAGCATAATTACATTTTTAATTTTGTTTTCTTTTTGCACACAACTTCCTTTGATCCTTTCTTCATAGGTTTTTGTACAGGCAACAAGTCTGCTATTGGCTTCTTCAAAGGGAATTTTCGCAAAAAAATTGGATACATTATTCTTTATACCAATTTCAGTAACGATACTTTCAAATACCGTATTTGCTTGAGGATCAAGGGCATTTTGAAAAATTAAAATTATATACTGTTCTTCCAAATCTGAAAAGAAATCAATATAACTATAAGTCTAAAAGAAAAAAATAAGTATATAGGAAGTTATTAGAAAAAGAGTAACAACTAGTTATTCCAAGAACATCACCAGAAATCCCTGTATCAATGTTCAAAACAATATTTGGCAGAGTATATAAAATAAATATAAAATAAAGACCAGTGACAATGTTACCTGACAATGTCACCTAAATTATTAAGAGAAAGGAATCAGAACACATTACTCTAGCAGTAGCTCAAGAACAAATCTATTCGTGGGTATAACTGATTTACTTCATCTAATAGGATCAAAATATATTTATAGTTTTACATATGTATAAATTAAAAATTTTATCAAACACAAATAAAATTTCCAAGTGAGCTAGAGAATTTAGCTGTAAAGACTGCTATTCACTAATGTGCAAACTCTTAAGCTGAAGCAGCAATTACTGCTGAAAAATATTTATTTTACAAATATTCATGCTATGCCATAAATATCAGAACCATATCATTTATTATAGAGATTGAAGATACATTCTACGAACTTGCAAACTTCTAATTCAGGGTAAGTTTCAAGGATTCCAGATTTATATGGTTGTACTTAGTACCTATCAGTGCATTTTAAAAAGTTCATTTTATCTAAGGACTATGCTGTACACCTGAAACCAATACAAAATAATATTGAAAGCAAATTGTAATTGAAAATTTTTTTAAAAATCATTTTACTCATATAATACAAGGTCAAAGAGTGCAGACCTTTGGAGTTTTAAGCATTTTGAAAACTTTATCAATGAGCAAACCTGTGTTTTATCATTAGAACTTCCACTTCATGTGGGCTTTTCCTCATCTATAAAAGGGGAAAGTAATATCTATCCTACAAGGTTCTTATAATAAATATAATAAATATAATACTATATAATAAAAGCATAGTATGCAAATTGTCCCCTCAACCGGGAGTTCATCCAGGAGTTCAACCAGGTGATGGGGCAGGCGGCCAGTGGAAGGGAGGGAGTACCTGGCTGGCAGCCGCTAGGAACCCTACCAGTGCACGAATTTCTGCACTGGGCCTCTAGTCCTATCTAATAAAAGACAAAAAGGGTAATTGACCATACCTTCGCTACACTTCCCATTGGCTAATCAGGGTGATATGCAAATTAACCGCCAACAAAGATGGCAGTTAATTTGCATACATAGGCTCCAAGCGGTGGAGCGAAGCCAAATGGCCCCGAAGCCCGCTGAGCAGCGAGGCCTCACGGCCCTGGGATCGGCGGAGCCGCGAGGCCTGACGGCTGGGGGGCTGGGGGGCGGGGGCGCCTCTGGCCGGAGCCCAGCCAGAGTGAAAGGCCTGGGTCCCGGGTGCCAGAGGAAAACTGGTGCCAGCAGCCAAGGGAAGGGAAGGCCTATTGCACGAATCTCTTCGTGCAACAGGCCTCTAGTATAATATAATATACATGTAAAGGATCTATCAAAGTATATTCACATTCTGCTAGTCAATGGATTATACTTATTATTATAATCCAATCTACATAACTTACTTGTTAACTTATGCATTCTTTTACAATGAGTCCAAACTTTATCATCCATACTCATTTGTATCAGCATGCTCAGCTTTTCATAAACTGGTGGTATTGTCTGAAGAAATACGACTGGTAATTTACGGACATTACACCATTCACATTTAGTTAGATCAGAGGTATTTAAAGTAAAGCCTACTGGATCAGCTTCTGCTTCTGGAGGAAAACAAATGGAAATGGAAAATGAATCAATTCTTAAAACAGCAAATTTATAAATAAAGAAGAGTGTGAGAAAATATAAGTTTAAAGTAAAACACATTTATTATGCTCTGTAAATAGTAACTTCTAGTGGGAAATGAAGAAAAATCCTTATAACTATCTTAAAGAAGCTTCTGCATTATTTTTCCAAAAGCGGGTTCTAATGATGTATACTTACAATTAAACAGATTTTGTGATGTTACAGAACGATATCACACTATTAACACATTGCGGACCAGTAGTTTTATTGCTAGCTTTACCCAGTGCCCAGGTAAGTTTCTACTGAACGAGTACAAAATATGTTTTACATAAATATTAAAGGCATGCTTTAAAATTAAATACCCACTGCATTTTGAAGTCATTTATTACATGTTCTTACAAGTTAATATCTTTTTTAAAGTATGATACTTTGTAAAACACTGTATAATATGAAGCGAGAATTCTCATGATCCGTCCACAATGTGTTAAAATATATCTAATAACTAATCATGTATATTTAATTTAATCTTTCATTCCTGTAAAGTGCTTCAGTGTGAAAAAAGTTTAAGTTAGCATAAAGGCATATTATAGCTTACCTTCCAGCGGTATCTTGATAAAATCTAAACAAAACTAAAAAAATAAAACAAATTAATGCCAATCTAGATTTATGAGGATTTTGCTACAAACAACCTAAATGACAGATTACAGAGGGCAGAAGAAATAAATCATCTACCACGTGCTTAAATATAAAACAAGATAACCTCCCCACTTCCAAATTACCTCTCAGAAAGGTAGGTTTCACCTTTCTGATTCAAATACTGAGAATATTCTTATACTATTGACTTATTTTTTCATAATTTCAAAGAGAAATTGAGAAAATGCTATATAAGACCCTAATATGCAAATCAACACAATGGCAGAACGACCGGCGAAATGACGCGAAATGACCGGTCACTATGACTCACACTGACCACCAGGGAGCAGACGCTCAATGCAGGAGCTGCCCCCTGGTGGTCAGTGCATTCCCACAGGGGGAGCGCCACTCAGCCAGAAGCTGGGCTCATGACTGGCAAGTGCCAACGGCAGTGGCAGGAGCCTCTCCCTGCCTCTGCTGCAGGCAGGGGGTAAGGAGCGAGGGGTCCTGGACTGCTGGCTTATCCCCGATCCCTGGGGATATTGGGCGTAAGCAGCAGGCAGACATCCCCCGAGGGGTGCCGGACTGCGAGAGGGAGCAGGCTGGGCTGAGGGGACACCCCCTTAGTGCATGAATTTTATTCACCGGGCCTCTAGTATTACAATAAATACCTGAATACTCATACCCAGATTCACTAACTTTAGTATCTTCCTACACTTAATCATTCTTTATGTATATACTAGAAGCCTGGTGCTCGAATTTGTGTACAGTTGGGGTCGCTTGGCCTGGCTGGCGATCGGGGCCAATTGGGGCTGCAGGAAGTTGGCTGCGGGATGTTGGCTTGCCAGGGGAAAGGGCTGCAGGATGTTGGCCGGCCATGGGAGGTTGGCTGTGGGAGTGCACTGACCCCCAGGGGACAGCTCCTGCGTTGAGCGGCTGCCCCCTGGTGGTCAATTCACGTCATAGCGACCAGTTGACTGGTTGTTCAGTCGCTTAGGCTTTTATACATATATAGATACATACACATACACACACACACACACAGAGTCATTTCTCTTTTGCTAAACCAGTATAAAGGCAGAAAGGTTCATTATTACAACATCTAAGAAAATCAAAATTAAGTTCATTCAACATACAGTTCATACTCAAATTTCCCCAACTGCTCAAAATTATCCTTTATATTTGCCTTAAATTTCCCCTGATGATTCTGTCAAGGCAATGTTACATTAGTCTCTCTTTTGTTTACTACTGTCTATAACAGAGAGAAACCTCCTTTTGCTTTTTATAAATAGCCTTTGAAAAATCCACGCTAGGTTCTAAAAAATGTACAACACTCTGGACTGCACTACATTGAAGGCACATGATGCCAGCCAGCCCCACTATTGATACAAGCTTAATCACTTGTTGAAGGCAGTGTATCAAGTCTTTCCACTGTAAAATACTTAAAATCTGTTTCTTAGATTAATAATGACACGGCAGATATATATCGTTTCAGTGCAAAACATAAAGGAAGTTATGTACAGAAAGAAAATGTCAAATCATCTTTTAAGATACAATCTGAAGAAATTACAGATCCACTATACCTTATAAAAAATGTTCTTTGGCTAAATCCCATGGTACAAGGAAGATTAATAACAGATTGCAAATTTCCAAATCATAAGCACAACTACTTTTTAGCTGAAATATTTCATTTAGCATTTTAATTAAAAAAAACCTATAGTAACATATTTTATATTATACACACTGCCTTTTATTTTTTAAACTAAATTCAGTTTTTCTTCAGTAGCTCATATACAAATTAATCTGTAACTTTCATGTAAAAAAATTCATTCAAATTTTGATGTTGTTCTTGCTAGATAGCCTTGAGACTATGCAACTTTCAACTAAATGGCTAAATTAACAGCCTTAATTATCATACTAAGGAGTTCTGAATAATGGTGCTCTGAATAATGTAAGGGGAATGCCATAAAACCTATAAGATATTCCTGGAAATTTCTGATATATAAGACATAGTATAACATTTTTATTATCTGACAGTCCCATCAAAGATAATCTGTACCATGAAGGCTTGAAACAAAACAGAAGCTTCGTAAATCCCTGAAAACCCTGCTATATAACAATGCTGCTGGGCAATAATAAATTGTCTATATATAATTTGCTTTAGATCTCTGGAGTATTTAATATCATTCTAGTTTTTAAATAATGAGAAGCTAGAGTTTTTTGATGGAAAAAAGATTGCTCTTTACCCATATGGCTTTTCTTGCATAAGAAATCAGGTCCACATTTCATTTTCTCCTATAAACTTAACCTATAAAGTTTTCCCCCCCTTTTGATCATATTTATTCTAGAATCATAAATCCTAGAAAATAGCTGTTACCATAATTTACATAATAATAAAGCAACCTTTTAACTTTCCTAATACAATGTGTTTTCTTAAAGATATTACTTTATGTATAAAGAAGAATACTACAAGACAGAGTTTAAAAGGTTAGAAATGGATAGCCAGGCACACCAAGTTAAGGAATTATAAAGGCTTACAAAATAGTGCAGTGCTAAAGGAAGATCAATTTACCAACAATGTATAGAGCATATTAGAGAAGAAGAAAAATGATGACTAAGAAAGCTAGTTAAGGAGATTACATTAAATTTTCAAACAGAAAATGCAAATTTGAATTGGATTGGTAGCAGTAAAATAATAAGAAAACACATATGAGAGATAAAAATTAAAGGACTATGGAAAAGTCCTTTGGGTTTTGTGGATACTGAACCAGTGCCTTCTGAGTGGCTATAGTAGTTCAATAATCTATTTCTAGGAGTCTTAGTGCTTTAAGACATTTTTTTGCAGACTCCAAAACTTTTGGATTCTTCTTTCTGTCATATTCTTTAAAATACTGTTTTCATTGAGTTGGCATTAAGAATAAAATAGTAGCCCTAGCTGGATTGGCTCAGTGGATAGAGCATTGGCCTGCAGACTGAAAGGTCCCAGGTTCGATTCCAGTCAAGGGCACATGCCTGGGTTGCAGGCTAGATCCCCAGTAGGGGACGTGCAGGAGGCAGCCGATCAATGATTCTCTCTCATCATTGATGTTTCTCTCTCCCACTCTCCCTTCCTCTTTGAAATCAATAAAAATTTATTTTTTTTAAAAAGTAAGAAGTGGAAAGTTTTTAACTCAGTTAAAATACTAAGTATCTTCCCACAATGAATGTGTCACTACTTTGAACAATGAATTATAAAAAAGTTTTTACTGACTTTTATGGTGAGGATTTATTTATAATTGTTTATATACTATTAAATAAATACAACATCTTAAAATAATTTAATATTCTATCAAGTATTTTAACTCACATATTTTAAAGTATTACTTATTAGCCTTAGCCACAGAATTATGAATCTTATAGTTGGTACAATGAACACAGAAGAATGTACTTACAATTACAGGTTCTACTAATAGCCGAAAGAGTGTCCCTACTCGTATACTTCGACAGTTTAAAATGACACTGCCATAGGAACTTGGGCAGCTTAAAGATACAGGATCAACTAAAGTTTCTTGAGCAATCACCTTGCGACGTTTTAGAGGTGTGTTGATAATAGAATTACCAAACTGAAAAAGAAAAAAATTTTCACTTAATAAAGTACTAAAACAAGGCTTTGAACTAAGTATATATATATATGCAGAAGACCCAATATGAGAAATGTAATTATCAAAACATAAGATTAATTTTACTTCAGTGGTGTCAGATGAAGTAAAAATTTTGATTTTATATAATAATAAACTCTTCAATGTTATATAGCTATACTTTATCTAGTTATTACTTTAAAAGAATAGCACAACAGTGAAAAATGGTATTCTGGGAATAAGACTTCTTGGTTTCAAATCACAGCCACACATCTTTTAATCTGATTTTGTAAACTTAATAACTCCGTAAGTTTTGGTTTCCTAAATTGTAAAATATGAAGAGTATCTACTCAAATGAGCTAAGGCCTATAAACAGCTTAGCACAGTGCTTCATGCACAGTAAAATACTAGATAAGTTAGCTAGTAACAGTAGTAGTGGTTGTAGAACTTGGGGTTAAATCAACAATTCTTTAGCAAACAGGTGATTTAAGGGTATGGCTATTTGCATTAATAAAGGATGCTTCTTTATATATTAAACTTTAACTAGTTGATTTATTAAATAGATATATATATATATTGGATAATCCTCACCTGAGGATATTTTTCCCATTGCTTTTCCAGAGAGTGGAAGGGAGGAAGGGAAGGAGAAAAGGAGGGAGAGAGCAAGAGAGAGAGAAACACTGATGTGAGACACAGCAACTCGTTGCCTCTGGCATGCGCCCTGGGGTGGGGAGCAAATCCACAACCCAGGCATGTACCCTTGACCAGAAATCGAATCCAAGACCTTCAGTGCTCAGGCCAACTCTCTAACCATTGAGTGACACCGGCCAGGGCATAAAATATTTATCCTATATAATAAAAATCTAATATGCTAAGTGTCCGGTTGTTTGGTGACTGGTCCACTTTTCAACCAATCAAAGTGTAATATGCTAATGATATGCTAAGGCCACTCAACTGCTCGCTGTGACGTGCACTGACCACCAGGGGGCAGACGCTCCAACTGGAATGTTAGCTTGCTGCTGGAGTCCGGCCGATTGGGACTGAGGGAATGGGCCAGACACACCCTGGAGCCCTCCTGCGGTCCCTCCCAGGCCCAATCGTGCACTGGTGGGGTCCCTCGGCCTGGCCTGAAACCTCTCGCAATCCAGGGCCCCTTGGGGAATGTTAGAGAGTGGATTTCAGCCCGTTCCAAAGATCACCCCCCTCAAGAGGACGCCAGACGAAGGGCTCATGGATGGTGAACGCTGCTGTGGCAGTGTGAGCCTCTCCCGATTGGGACTGACTGGGCGCAAGCCCATGGAAGACAGGATGAGCAGGAGCAGCAGGTAGGAGCTGCAGGAAGCTTTGGACTGCGGGTTTCGGCCCGATCTCCACAGGCCACCCAGAGAGGCCCCACCCATGCACGATTTCATGCACCAGGCTTCTAGCATAAGTATAATTTAAATTTAAAGTAATTAAAATTATGTTAAAAACTTTATTATCATCACAAGAATAAAACATTATCCTGGTTAAAAAAAAAAAAAACAAGAGGGAAAAATGTTCAATGCGTAGAGATAAGCACTATTCTCATTATACCTACAGAGACATTTCTGTGATCTATGTCACAGGAAAAAAAATAAAACAAAATGTGATGCACACACATTTTTTTCCTATAAACTGCTCTTTCAGGCTTATTAACAGATTTATTATAAATATTTTCCCACATATTAATAGTAACATATAATATAGATTTAAAAACTCTTTTTAGCTTTAGAATTATTTCTTCAAATGACATGTTATTTAGCTCAATAATTCTATATAATAAAAGCCTAGGTGGCGTCATGCATGATGCACCACAAGATAGCCACCATCACGTTGTCACAAAATGGCTGCCACACGATGGCTGGCAGGGGAGGGCAGTTGTGGGCAATCAGGCTGGCAAGGGAGGGCAATTGGGGGCAAACAGGCCAGCAGGGGAGGGCAGTTGGGTGTGACCAGGCCGGCAGGGGAGGGCAGATGGGGGGACCAGGGCTGCAGGGAGGGCAGTTAGGGGCGAGCAGGCCGGCAGGGGAGCAGTTAGGCGTCAATCAGGCTGGCAGGCAGAAGCAGTTAGGGGCAATCAGGCAGGTGAGTGCTTAGGAGCCAGAGGGATGTCTGGCTGCCGGTTTAGGCCCGATCCCACAGGGATCGGCAGTCGAACATCCCCCAAGGGGTCCCAGATTGTAGAGGATGCAGGCTAGGCTGAGGGGGGCCCCCGCCCCATGCACAAATTTCGTGCACCGGGCCTCTAGTAAGTAGATAAATAACTTAAGAAGTGCTCCAGCTAAATCCATAGTAGAGACTGAGTCTAGAACTAGGGTAGTCCATACCCTTCCAAGGAGCCTCTAAAACAGGGGTCCTCAAACTTTTTAAACAGGGGGCCAGTTCACTGTCCCTCAGACCGTTGGAGGGCCGGACTATAGTTTAAAAAAAAACTATGAACAAATTCCTATGCACACTGCACATATCTTATTTTGAAGTAAAAAAACAACCGGAACAAATACAATATTTGTATTTGCATGTGGCCCACGGGCCGTAGTTTGAGGACCCCTGCTCTAAAAGATCTCTGAGGAACCCTAATTGTTCAATGTTCCAGCTGAAATCTGCTCACCCACAAATTCTATCACATGGAAATCCATTATTTATTTAATTGAATTCTACTATGCTGACATCTGAGTTCTTTCTGGACTTTTTGCATGACACATTCTCCAAGAAGTATTTTCACAGCTAAATCCAGATATATATGATTTTTGCCAAATTGCCTTCCAGAAGTTATGTTACCAATTTACATACTCAATACTCCATTCCTCCAAACACTATCCAAAATGAGATACTATTATACTTGAAAAGTGTTTCAGCACTGACAGTTAACAAAATATATTGTTTTAGTTTCATTTTCAATACTTTACTACTAGTTTGAACTCTATTCATTTCCATTAGTCATTTTTCTATACTTTGTTTCTATTTCTTGATTTTTTTTAAGAAATTAAAAATATATAAAGGACCAACTCACATTGTCGCACAGTTCCTTATTTTTTCTTTTGCATTTACCTATCAAATTATGTTTATGATGTTTTGCTACACTGTTCTGTATGTTTCATTTACTCAAATATATTCATCACTTCATTTGCTATTATTGCTTGTGCAGACACATTTGGAAAGGCATCCTTCAAGATTATATTAAAAAATATTAATCCTTATTTTTTCTTTTATCTTTATAATTGCTCTTTATTTTAATTCCTTATGGTTTCCACCTTAACAACCAAATATGTATGTTCCCATATTTTTATCTATATTCCTGTAATCCATGACATGTATATATAAACCCATGTATAATTTTTTTCATCCTTACCCAAGGATATATTTTGATTAAAAAAAAAATTTTTAGAGAGAGAGAGTGGAAAGGGACAGAGAGAAACATTGATCAGCTGTTCAAAACCTGAACCGCCCCCCAACACCCTGACCAACTGGGGATGGAACCTGCAATACTTTTGGTGTACAGGAGGAGCACACTTCAAATCAGGGCCCCATATATAATTTTTTACAGGTTTTTAAAAATCTTTTTTTATAAGTAATTTACAAAAATAAGAAAATATGCACATATTTCTGCATCCTGGTATTCCCATTTAACAGTACCAAGTAGAAATTTTAAGTCATTAATATAGTTTTAATTTTTTTTGTCAGTGACTGCACAATAGTCCATGATGTGGATATACCATAAATTCTTCATCCATTTCCATATTAATGGGCAATGATTTTGTATGCAGTTGTATGCCAAGAATCACTTTTATACATACATTCTTATGTACTGGAGAGGAAGATTCCTTTGAAATTGAGTCTAGGGAATGAATTATTTGGTCATTCCATACACATTTAAAATTTTTCAATAGATATTTTTTACACTGCTTTCCCCAAAGATCCTAACACCTTTCTTTTCCATCAGCAAATTACAAAAGTACTCTTTTCCTCAGATTCTTGCCAGAAGTTTATATTAACTGATTTTGTATTCATTTTGAAAGTTTGTCTAGAATATGATTATTAAGTGGGGCTTAAAATGCCATTTGAAAGATTATTTGGAAGAACAATCCATTAAATCGCATTTTAAAGTGTAATCTATTCAGCAAGAAGAAATTAGTGTTACAGCAACATGTAAGTATAAATAAGTATATTTTATACTTGTATAATTTGGGAACAGGGAGAAGTCATTTTTAACTTACTAATTTGTACTTTTCATGTGGTAGCTTATTATCTGAATTTTCTTTGTCTATTCCTTTTTTTTTCACTTTCTTTTTTTCTTCAATCTTTAAGAGTTCTTAGTCTATTACAGATATTAACATATGTCATCTGCATTACAAATATTGCTCTGAGTCTATTTGCCATAATTTTTATCTTTTCCATCTGAACATTTTGAAAATTTTATAAGCGTAGAACAATAATGTAGTTGAATACAACCAAGTTAAAAATGATTTCTCCCTGTTCCCAAATTATACAAAACTTGTTTATACTTACTTGCTGCTGTAACATCTCTTCTTGCTGAATTGTTTACACTTTAACCTGTGATTTAAAGGGTTGTTCTTCCAAATAATCTTCCAGGTGGCCTTTTAAGCCCCACTTAATGAATAATTCATCTTTTTCTCCTATTAACACTGCCAAATTACCCTCCGAACAAATACATCCATCCCAAAGGTGAGACATAATCTGGATATAAATATCAATAAATGTAAAAAGTACCTGATCTTTCATTCTTGCTTTTCTTGGCAACGGAACTGTATTTAATTCTGAATCTGCTGGAATGCTTCTTAGTTCATGCTCTACTCTACCGGTATTTTCACTTAGTGCTGCTTCTACTTTTCCAGTGGATGGTGCTGGGGAAGAACATGCTGAGTCAGCAGGTTGAGGAGATATGCTCTCTCTTCTGTTAGTCCTGTCATTGTCATCATCATCATCACTGGACAAAATGACTATAAAAAATGTTAAATACTTCATGTATTTCATTTCTGGCAGTTAAAAATATAAATATATTACCAAAATGGGGAATATACCAAATCTGCTTTGGATCTCCTCCAGATCTGAGATTAATAAAAACAAATGAAGATATAATCCACTCTATCTGGTGAAAAGTTAAATTTATAAAACACTTAAAAATAAAGCATAGGAACTGACATCTTTTTTTAAATAATATACAAGTATGAAATTAATTCTATAGTCCATCATCATCACCCACAAAGAAACATACACCTATGTTTAAATTTTTAATCAGTAGGTCCATTTCAAAGTTCCCAAAAGCTAAAGTATAAAGATAATCTGCATACAAATTGTCCACAAATAGCATGAATTTTAAATATGTGTGAAACTTTATGTGACCACATAATTTTATCTCATACAGGAAATCACTAATTGGTCCTTGGAAGAACTTGGACCAGTGCCTAATGCTCAATTAATCTTGATGAATAAATGAGCATGAGCAAGAAAAGACATTATGAAGGTAATTTACTCTTATACCTTGTACTTACTATTAAATTAGAGGTTTGGTGCATGGATTCATGCACTAGTGGGGTATGCGGAGATTGGGCCTAAACCAGCACTTCTAAGCTGCCTACCGCTCCTGCTCATTCTGGCCCTGCTGCTCCTGCTCGGTAGGCTCGCTGCCATTCTGCAGCGCTCTCTGGGCTGTGGTGACCAGCCGTGAGTCCTACGTCTGGTGCCTGCTGGTCAGCTGAGTGGCGGTCCCAATGTGGGAGCACACATAGCGACCAGTCGACTGGTCATATGATAGTTCGGTTGCTTAGGCATATCTATCTATCTATCTATCTATCTATCTATCTATCTATCTATCTATCTATCTTATCAAAACCATCCCTATATCATAATTCCTCAAAGTCACCCACACTGCACTTGTGTCAAATCCTAACTCCTTACTCTGGTTTATAAATGTACATAATCTGGCCCTTGACTACTTCTCAGACTTTCTTATATTATTCCACTTTTCTTCCTTTATTCTCCAGACCAACTAGCCATTTATTCTGTTCCTCAAATACCCACAAGCTTGTTCCTGTCAGTATTTGATGCACTTGATGCACTTTTGGCATCAAGTATTAGCTTAAAAATCACTTTTTGCTCAACCACGCAATCTAAAGTAAGTACATGAGCACTTGCTTATTTACAACAACTATACTCCAAAAGTCTAAAAAAGTGCCAGGCACAGAAAAAGCATACAAAGACCATCTGTTGAAAAATGCATAAACTTCTATATATTATTTACTCCATCTCCTTAAGCCTAGGTTGCCTCATTTGATTGTGAAAACTAAATTAAACAAATTAGCATATAAATCTTTACCACAAAGCAGGGAATATAAGCATGTGATGATATCTTTTATTATTAATATTAAACGCTCTTAAAATATAACACTTTGTTTTTCACATACTTACATGGAAAGTACTTAGTTTTTCTTTTTTTTGGCACAAGGGAACAAATTTATATTTTATGAAATTAATTCATGGTTGTGGTTAAACTCTAAAAAGTAAACTGTTTAATAAACCTAAGAACCACATGAATGTATTTCCTTATGTTATCAGCCTACATGGTTGATGCAGACAAAATATTTTGTATTTTTTCACACATCAACTTAGCCTTATTAATTTCCAGTTCCCCTCATCTTGAAAACTTCCTCAGAATGTCATTTCCTATTTAAAGTTTGGCTCTGTAATACATAGTAACTGCCTAATAAGTGGGCGTTTTCTTCATATCTTACCATTATTAAACATATTAACATTAGAAAAGATTCAAATGATATTAAAAGTATTTAATATTACACTGGCATAACACTAAAATGTATCATAAAATAATCAAATATCAACATTATCATAATATCATAATAGAATATAGGCTGCATAGCCATCATACAGTATCTTTTTAAAAATATATTCTTGAGAGATAAGCTAATGTACTGGTACAGATTAAGTTTTTTAGTATTCCCCTCATTAGTCAATGGGAGCTCTTTCATTTTAGCTCTTGTGTCCTCTGACGTGTCTATAGTAGTTTCTGACAGCTTCCATATATCACTAGATGATCTAGGTTTATTAATACATTCGTGTCCCAGATCTTGAGTAGGCAATTTCTCTGAGGAGCTCTGGTGGGAAATGATATTCAAAAATGCAAATATGGGAACTAGTGTTGTTTGTTTCTACATGAGAGTTGCTTACTATTTCTAGGCATTCTCTGTGGGTAAAGCTAGGAAATAATTATTTCCTTATTTAAGAAAAAATATGCAGTAAGTTCACTTTATCTCTGATTCTAATTTGAAGTTACAAGATATTGATTTCTTTGATTTTATTTTTATATTCCTTTTCCTCTAACACTGAAAATCTTGTTTTCTGAAGACAATCATACAATGGCTTATTTGCTTTATCAAGTGTTTAAAAATCCCAATACCAATATTAGTAACAATATTTGTGACTGCGTTTAGGATTTCCTTATAGTTTTGTTTGACCTTAAAATATCTCACATTAGGATGCACAACCACAATATTATTTTAATTTAAATTCATCTGAAATAATTCTTCTGTGTTTTCAAGCGACCAATAGATATATAATGACATTCATTTATTTCATTTTGGTTTTGATTTTAAATATTTGCAATTTAATTTTCTTTTATAATTATGTGAAATGTTTACATGGCTCCAAAGTCAAATCTATAAAACAAGTACATATGTAGACATCTAGCATCTATCCCTGATTCCCATACTGCTTCCTCCCCTTCCAACCACTTTTAAATTCAATTTCTGATATACCTTTTCATTAAAAACAAACAAACAAACAAAACACCTAGATTCATTCTCCCATCCTTCCTAAATAAAGGGTAGCATACTATATATTGATACTCACTTTGCTTTATTCATTTGGTTAATCACTTTGAAATCACTTATAAAATACTAAGTCATTTCTCCCCTTTTACAACTAGGTATGCTATAGTTTTTTCAACCAGTCTGAATGTTTCCAATCTTTTGCTATTTATTATATAACAGGACTATATTCCATATACACACACACACATGCTCATGTGTCTGAAGTAAGAAAAAAAAGATTTAGGAGAGAAACAAAAGTGGTAAAGAAACTAATTTTCACTGAGTCCTTTCTATCTGTCAAATATTTTATTTGGCTATCCTAGGTACTTTATATGTCATTTTATTTAGTAGTAGAGGCCCAGTGCACGAATTCGTGCATGGGTGGGGTCCCACAGCCTGGCCGGCTATTGGGGCCGATTGGGGTTGTCTCCTGCCCCGATTGGGGCTCGGGGCCATCAGGACTGACTGGCCAGGGTGAGGGGCCATGAGAGGTTGGTGGGGCCAATTGGGTCTGGTTGGCTGTGGGAGGCTGGTTGTGGGAGCATATGCCCCTGGTGGTCAGTGCGCATCATAGTGTCCAGTTCACTGGTCGTTAGGTCGCTTAGGGTTTTATATGTATAGATTAACAAGGCAATGTATCCATTTACAGGTCAGAGAGATTAAATTAACTAGGCTGAAGTTAGAAAGCTAGGAATACCTGGATTTGACCTAGAACTCTGGCCAAGTTCTGAGCTTTTATTACATATGTGTGTGTGTGTGTGTGTGTGTGTGTGTGTATGGATACACACACACACATCCTATATAATAAAAGCCTAATATGCTAAGTGTCTGGTCATCTGTTCAACCAATCAAAGTGTAATATGTTAATGATATGCTAAGTGGCTCAACCGCTTGCTATGATGTGTACTGACCACCAGGAGGCAAACACTACGACCAGTAGGTTAGCTTGCTGTTGGAGTCCGGCCAATCGGGACTGAGCGAGATGGGCCGGACACACTCTGGAGCCCTCCCGCGATCCCTCCTCAGCTGGCCAAGCTTCCGTGTCCCTCCCCACCCCGATTGTGCACAGGTGGGGTCCCTTGGCCTGGCATGCGCCCTCTCACAATCTGAGACCCCTTGGGGGATGTCGGAGAGCTGTTTTCAGCCTGATCCCGCTTAACTCAGGAGCTGCCCCCTGGTGGTCAGTGCGCTCCCACAGGGGGAGTGCTACTCAGCCAGAAGCCGGGATAATAGCTGGTGAGTGCAGTAGCAGTGGCAGGAGCCTCTCCTGCCACCTCCACAGCAGTTGGACATCCCCCGAGGGCTCCTGGGCTGTGAGAGGGTACAGGCTGGGCTGAGGGACCCCAGCTAAAGTGCACAAATTTTGTGCACAGGGTCTCTAGTCTACACTAATAAAAGAGAAACATGCAAATTGGTGTCACTCCACTACACCCACCAGTCAATCAGGATGAGTATGCAAATTAACCCAACAAAGATGGCGGTTTATTTGCATATGCAGGCACGGAGCAAAGACTGACGACTGAAGAGCAGAGAAGCCAAGCCTCGCTGCGGCCGGAGTAGAGAAGCCAAGCCTCGCTGTGGCCGCAGCAGAGAAGCCAGGCACAAATGAGCTTGCTGCTTGGCTTCTCTGCTGTGGCCGGACCAAAGGCCTGGGTCCCGGGTGCCAAAGGAAAACTGGTGCCGGCAGCCAGGGGAAATAAGGCCTATTGCGCGAATCTTCGTTCAACGGGCCTCTAGTATATATATAAAAGCTTAAGTGACCGGGCGACCGGCCAGTAGCTATGACATGCACTGACCACCAGGGGGCAAATGCTCAATGCAGGAGCTGCACCCTGGTGGTCAGTGCGCTCCCCCAGCGGGCGTGCCGCTCAGCTGACCAATGGGTGCCAGACGCTGGGTATACGGCTGGTGAGCACAGCTGCAGTGGCACAAGCCTCTCCCGTGGACACTCCCCCTATATACCCAAGCGACGGCGGCAAGCATAGCGGGGCTAGGATGAGCGGGAGCAGCATGGTGACCAGGCCGGGGTCCTCCATGGCTGCCTGTCGCTTCGTTCACTACTTCATACTGTGCGGGATTGATGCTGACAGCAGACTAGAGCCCGACAAAGCTGGCACATAAGGCCAGGCTGCGGTGGCGTGGAGGTCCACTGATACCCGCAGGCCAGGCCAAGGGACCCCACCGGTGCACAAATCCGTGCACCGGACTCTAGTTTATGATGTATAGGTTCAGAAGAGTTATTATTTGCTAACTATGAGTACAATTTTAATGGTCTACCCAAAAAATATTACATAACTGACACAAAACTATACTTCTCAAATATACTCATGTTCACTTTACAATGTTGGACTGATATAAGCAATACCAAAGGGAGTAAAACACTTACTTGGATCATTTAGGCCTGACAGGCTTATTTTCCTTTCTTTTAGATTTGTGGTCTTGGCTCCTTTTGCCCTAGGTAAAACGACTTTCCCATTAGTCTGTAAATAATTCTGTCTATCACAGTTTACAATAATATCAATTGGAACCTTTCCCACACTGTTGCCATAAAACTTGTTGGGTGTTAATGCTGTGTTTTGTGACTTCTGTCCTCCAGAATTCTGATGATTTGATGTTCTCAGTAATGGACCAGTTGATTCATTCAAAGTTATAGCTTGTCTGCAACTTCTGGGCAAATCCTTAGGAAAAAGAATATCACAAACTTTGACATTTGGTCTGAATTTCTTTTTCTTGACACATGTTGGACAATATTCATACTGTTCAGAAAACTTAGGTTCCAAAAAAATAAAAGACTTTGGCATTTTATTTCAACATCATGGAACAAATATATACAACATTTCAAAATTAACTCTCACTTCCCATGATCATCACCATGGCTACCACAAAAATCTGAATATGTCATATTAGTTAGAATTTAGCAGCAGAATGCCGAAGGAATTTTTGAGCCCTTCACTCCAGCATACAAGGCATAAATAATCTTAACACGTTAAGTTCCATGTCAGTCATCGGTGACTGACACTATACTTTCTGTCGGGACCGGTCAGTCACTGGTGCTGCCAGCATATTGGTGAAATTGGATATCGAGGGCTAAATGGAAAGAAAGACAAAACAGGCTTGTTGCTTAATGTGTTAAGGGGATCAATATCTAGTTTCACAATTTCTACATATAACCTTTCCAAAAATCTGACATGATTATGCTATGTCAAGGAATCTCCTACCACAACTGCTCTTCTCTTCAAAATAAGAATGCTAGCCCAGCCGGCGTAGCTCAGTGGTTAAGCATCGACCCATGAACCAGGTGGTCACGGATCAATTCCCACTCAGGGCACATGCCTGGGTTGCGGGTTTGATCCTTAGTAGAGGGTATGCAGGAAATCAATAAAAACATTAAAAAAAAAAAAAAAAGAATGCTAAACCTGTCTTCCATTTAAAATATCACAAATGGTATATTTCCTGGGGTATAAAAACTATTAAATCAAACCGAAGGACAACTTTAAATGTTGAAAAAAAATAAGTTATAAGTACTGTTTAACAAAAATTTGCAAGACAATTGATTTCTAAGTCAGTGCTACAAAAATATTTTAACGAAGGCTTAATCTATGTTACAATTGTGATATCATTAAAAATGTTTTCTGACAGAGTATCATGTGATTTGGGGCATATAAATTAGAAGTTCAAGGTATTGAGTGATATTACTATAATATAATTCTTTCCATAGTCATGTACTTGTTTTTCTGAAACTTATTTATGTACTTATTACCTCAGCATTTACGTCTGTAAGAAGGAAACAGGAATAGATGTTGAATCAAGTCTCAGTATATAACATATATTTATCCATGGAGACATGAAGTAATTGAGAAAAAGTCAATGGCTCTAATTAAAAGATGCATTTCCAATAACTTTACGCCAAATAATTACTTATCAAATTTTGTAACAACATATAATTTAGATTAATAATTATTTTTTGTATATTATATGTATTTATACTGTACTAAAGGCCCAGTGCACGAAGGTGCAGTCCCTAGACCTGGCCGGCGATCAAAGCGCGAGCGTCTGTCTTAGAAGGGCAGGTCTCTGCTGACCTCTGGGCCCTGGGCAGCACCTGGGCTCCTGGGCCTCCACCTGTATGCGTCACAGCTCCAGAGTCTCCACACAGAGATGCAGTGAGCATGGCTGGATGCTGCAGACCGGGGTGCAGTGTGGTCCTCCCGGAAGCCAAGCGGGCAGCGTGCTCTCTCCCGGCCGGCCTCACAGACCGGCTCCTGCGTGAACCCACCAGGAGCCCAACTGGCCCCTGCAGTCCCAGTGGCTTCAGCCCAGCTCACCCAGAAGAGGCTGCATGGGTGCGGGGCGAGCTCCTGGCGGGTGCCCAGCAACTCAGCGCCCACTGCCAGCGCCATGTTGCCAACACTTGTCATGTTCTGCACTCCTGATCGAACGATCACCAAAGGGGACAATTTGCATATTAGGCTTTTATTATATAGGATTGTTATTTTAAATTTAAATATAACTGATATACAATATTGTATTAGTTTCAGGTGTACAATATAGTGATTTGATACTTACAATGTGATCATCACACTAATTCTAGTAGTAATCTGTCACCATGCAAACTTATCACAATATTATCAACTACATTCCCCTTTACTTTTTTCACCCATCCCTCCTTACCCCTACACTCTGGCAACTATCCATTTGATCTTTTTTTGTAAGAGCAATACTCAGTATAAAAGAAAAATATTTTAATACTTTGAGCCTCATACCAAAGGAAATTAAGTGAACAAATATTTGTTGTGACAATGAAATGATAGAATGAGATGGTCATTATCAAGATATATTATACTTGGATGCTACCAGATCCATATATGAGAAGGGAGATCTAACCACTCTAAAAACATTACTCCTGCCTGGCCGGTGTGGTTCAGTGGTTAAGCATCTACCTATGAACCAGGAGGTTCCATTCCTGGTCAGGGCACAATACCAGGTTGTGGGCTCAGTTCCCAGTAGGGGGCATGCTGGAGGCAGCCCATCAATTATTCTCTCTCATCATTGATATTTCCATGTCTCTCTCCCTTTCCCTTCTCAGAAATCAATAAAAATACATTTAAAAAAATTCTGGTTGAAGCTCATGCTGGGTATAGCTCAGCTGGTTAGAACATTGTCCAATACACCAAGGCTGTGGGTTTGATCTCTGGTCAGTGCATATCCAAGAAGCAATCAATGAAATCATAAATAAGTAGAACAAATCTCTCTCTCCCTTCTTTACTCTTTCTCAAATCAATTTTTTAAAAATTCTAGTTGAGAGCAGTTATTTGGAGTATGTTGCAGGATGGCACGGATGTAACTTTTCTGTGTCTCTTCTAGTAGTATGAGAAAAGTTCACCTACAATTCAATAAATACTAAAAATAGTATTAATAAAAATACCATCTCATTAACAACAAAGAATAATTTCTCTACCCACCTCTAAATCAGATAAAGATTTTTTTGAGGCAGGAGACACAGGAGTAGTAGATTGATATGTACTGTGACGTTTCTGTGATACTTTCCTTTTGATTTCTGACTCCAAGTATGATTCAGATTCTTCTGTCTTCTTCATTATATGATCTAAAGGAAGGAGACAAAAACAAAAGTACTAAAATGAAATTTTATAAATTCCTCATGATCCTTGTTATGAAAAAATACTAACTTATATTATCAAATTGTTTTAGTTAAAATAATGTTTCAACATAATAAAGAATAATCAGAACTTTAAGTCAGACAATCCTATATAATAAAAGCCTAATATATTAAGTGTCTGGTCGACTGGTCAGTCGTTCAATCAAAGCATAACATGCTAATGATATGCTAAGGCCACTCAACTGCTTGCTATGATGTGCACTGACCACCAGGGGACAGACACTCTTGACAGATAGGTTAGCTTGCTGCCGCGGTCCAGCTGATCGGGACTGAGCGAGATGGGCCAGACATGCCCTGGAGCCCTCCCGCGGCCCCTCCACGGCTGGCCAACCTCCTGCATCTCTCCTCAGCCCCGACCATGCACCGGTGGGGACCCTTGGCCTGGCCTGCACCCTCTCCCAATCCAGGACAACTCGGAGAATGCTGGAGAGCCGATTTCGGCCAGATCCCGCAGGCATATCTATATAATAAAAGCCTAAGTGACCATTATGGCAGAATGACCGGTCGCTATGATGCGTACTGACCACCAGAAAGCAGACACTCAACGCAGGAGTGCAGCTCAGCCAGGGTTCACATGGCAGCGCTAAGAAGCAGTGAGCCGAGTGGTAAGGAGCAGGGAGCAGGTGGACAGTTAAGAAACAAGGGGTCCTGGACTGTGAGAGAGAGCAGGCCAGGCCGAGGGACACCCCCTGCCGTGCACAAATTTCGTGCACCAGGCCTCTAGTTACATGATAAATTACAAAATTATAGGCCTGGTGCACAGAATTTGTGCATGGGCAGGGTCCCTAGGCCTGGCCAGCGATCAGGGCCAATCTGTGGGGTGACCGGCGGGGTGATCGAGGTCCCTGCTCACACTCGCCTTGGCTGGCCTGGCACTGCCTGCTCACCAGCCCCACCCCCCAACTGGGGCCTGGGGGACAGCTCCTGTGTTGAGGGTCTGCCCTCTGGTGGTCAATAGGCATCATAGCAATCAGTCGTTCTGCCAGTTTTTACGCCTTTTGGTCAATTTGCATACTATGGTTTTATATAGATAGTTAAAAAAAAATACAATTTTGATGCTATAACCCAAAAGAATTTGAGTCTTGAATTTAACCAAAAATAATAAAGATTTCAAATTGTAATCACCTGAATGTGCAACCAATTCTTGGTGATTTCATTCAAAATTAAGTAAATTCTCAAGTCAGTTATAAAAAATGTTTTTTTACGTATTTATAACTGGGAATATTTTATAGCCAAGGTCATATCTTTACTTCTACCTTTCAAACAACTACTCAAAACATTTTACAGATGTAACAGGTAAAACTGCACACTTACCAACACCTTGGGGCCAGCTTAACCTTACAGGATTATTTTCAAATTTTTGGACATGAGGTGGATATTCTTTCCTATAAAAGGGAATATACATAGTTTGATTCTAACAAAAAACATATTTTTCAAAATGAAAAAAATGAGGAAATACTTATACTTTAAAAGCATAGCTACTTTGCCATATAAAACTGATACTATAACAAAACTGTATCACAGAAATATATTAATAATATATTATAAGATCCCTAAAGTCAGTGACTTTTTGTTTAATTTATCAAACCCCATAGCAGGCATTCAAATTACTGTTCTTTCAAAGTAGTTCCCCAAATGCATAAATTAGAATTTTTCTTTTGGCATTTCCTTCATAATCTATACTAATAATAGTGGAATATGCAAATTGTCTGGGACACTGTCACAGTAACAGTAACAACCGAACAGCAGGCTGGCAGGCTGCGTGGGGTGACAAGGCCGGCAGGGGGGTTAGTGAGGGGGACCAAACGACTGAACAGCAGGCTGTGTGGGGTGACCAGGCCAGTGGGGAGGGTGGGCAGTTAGGGGTGACCGGGCCAACAGAGGGGGGCAATTGAGGGTGACCAGGCTGGTAGGGGGAGGAAAGTTGGGGGTGACCCAGTCCAGCTGGGGGGCATTTGGGGTGACAAGGCTGGCAAGGGGAGGGCAGTTAGGGGCGATCAGGCCGGCAGGCAGAGGTGTTAAGGGGTGATCGGGCTGGCACACAGAGGCAGTTAGGGATGATCAGGCAGACAGGCAGGTGAGCAGTTAAGAGCCAGCGGTCCCGGATTGTGAGAGGGATGTCTGACTGCCGGGTTAGGCCCAAACAGGCAGTCAGACATCCCCCAAAGGGTCCCAGATTGGAGAGGGTGCAGACTGGACTGAGGGACCCCAGGCTTCGATTTCGTGCACCAGGCTTCTAGTCAGTTAATAAAACCACATTACATGCCCTAGCCGGTTTGACTCAGTGGATAGTGTCAGCTTGCAGACCAAAGGGTCTTGGGTTCGATTCCAGTCAAGGGCATGTACCTTGATTGCAGGCTCCTCCCTGGCCCAGGCTCTAGTCAGGCGCATACAGGAGGCAACCAATCAATGTGTTTCTCTCACATCAATATTTGTCTCTTTCCCTCTCTCTAAAAATCAATGAAAAAATATCCTCGGGTAAGGATTCAAAAAAATAAATAAATAACACATTACAAAAAAACTCATAATACTTCATTGTCACTTGTTTTAATTATAAATAAAAGAATACATGGCAAATAAGATATTGGCTGAGGAGAATCCCAAAATAAGTACAAAAAGTGTTATATACAAAACTAGCAATCATACAAGTATTTTAGTCTTGTAATATAACTACATTATGGGAATATAATTAATACTTTTTAAAATATATTAAAAATACATTACATTTGTATATAAATATATACAAATACATAAAAATAAATACAATTGATTTTCAGGATTCTGAAAATAATCCTTAGTAAATAAGGGTCCTAAAATACAAAGCAAAAAATCTATAGCTAATTATGGGATAAATAAAGCGTTAAAGATTTGCAAAATGCAATTGACTAGAGAGCTATAATAGCTACTTTGATATCATAAAGAAAAGCTTCTAAAATTATTTCTATTTTATTTAATCAGGATATTAAAAATAAGAGGTTATTCTATTATTTGTAAATCCATTCACACTAGTGAACAATACCAAATTAATTAGACAAAACCCTAAAGAAAGTTTCCTGTAAAGATTTAATACTGTATTGTAAAAGTCAAACTACCTATATTGAAAACAAAATATGAAAATGACATAAGGAAGAAAATAATAAGAGTAATGGTAGGAGTATATTTGTAACAGCAGTTAGCAAGTAGTGATTATCATGTGCCAGGTACTGTTCTAAGTGCTTTCCATCTATTAAATGTTTTAATCCTCACAATAATCTTATAAAACATATAATATTATTAGCACTTTATAAGTGAGGAAACGGAAGCACAGTGAGGTTAATTAAATTGCCCATCCACGGTCACACAACTATTAAATAGCAATGCCAGAATCTGAATACTGCTAAATTGCATTAATATTAATGAGTAATGGTTGTTTCATTATTGAGCAGCATTTGGTACAAGTGGGCAATTTCCACCCTGTCAACTTAAAAAAAAATTATATATATAATTTTAGAGAGGAATGGAGGAGATAGAACATCAATAAGAATCCTTGATTGGCTGCCTTCTTGCACATCCTCTACAGGAGATCGAGCCTGTAATCTGCACATGGGCCTTGATCAGGAATCAAACCAGTGACTTCTTGGTGCATGGGATACTCAACCACTTAGCCACACTGGCTGGGCAAAAATACCAATTTTAAATTGCAACAGAAACAATGATTTTAAAAGCGAAGTACGACGATATTCCAAACACTATTAGTATATATTATTTAAAACTGTGGACACTCTGTATAATATATATTTTTTAAAACAGTGAACAGATATTCTTTTTCTTTTCTTTTTTTTAATTCTCACCCGAGGATATTTTTTCCACTGAATGGAAGGGAAGGAGGAGGGGAGAGAAACATTGATGTGAGACACACTGATTGGTTACCTCCTGCAGCCTCCCTACTGGGGCTGGGAAACCTGCAACCAGGGTATGTGCCATTGGACCAGGAATCTAAACCCAAGACCCTTCAGTCTGTGGGCCAACATTCTAACCACTGAGCAAAAAAGGTCAGGGCAACAGATATTCTTAAATGCTAAGGATTCTCAACAATTTAAGTTTGAGCAGCCAAAAAATCTGAAAATATAGATATTCTGGGAAATGTTATAAGCACAGGTTTATTCAGTAGTGACTGAGACAATAAATGTGTATGGATTGATGAAATCATAGCTGATTGATGAAAACGCTGCATTAATATACTGTGCTCTTTGCAATTTGATCAAGTGCCCTGAGCTCTGCATAGCTAATGAGGAACACACTGAATATCTTATTTAATATCCATACTTTATTATGTATTGTAATTTAATGTTAATAAACTATTATGCCTGGCCTATGTGGCTCAGTGGTTGAGCATCAACCCATGAACCAAGAGGTCACTGGTTCTATTCCCAGTCAGTGCATGTGCCCAAGTTTTGGGCCGATCCTCAGTAGCGGGGCATTTCATACATTACGGCCACTCTATATCCAATATTTGCTGTTTCCGTATATGAACAGGGCAAATTAAGTTGTTTTAAAAATTATAATGAATAAATTACAGAAATAAAAGCATGCCTTAGATTTAAATGTACAAATTTCAGGATAAAAGCATTAACTTGAAAAAAGAATGAAACTTTCTAGCCACAAACTATCTGTGTTCTTTAAAACGATTTGCTAGGTGAAAAAAAAGATCAAATTTTATGTTAATTTCTTAGTTTAAGGGTTCCATCACTCTACAGATACTAAAATTTCAAACTCCAAACTGATCTGAAACTCAAGTCTAGGACTGAATTTCTCAGTGGATGTTTCTTTTTTACCTCAAGCCAAGCAGAAGCAGAGAAGCTTCCCTGTCATGCCATATAAGGTAGGAGATTTGGGGAGCTTCTGAGGATTTGTGTTTTGTGTAGAAGTTTTAGAGAAAACCTTACCTCATGGATGCAGCATTTTACAAGCGACATAAAATGAACTGAAAGAGCTTTTGTTTGCAAAATTGTTTACATTAATATCAGAATGCCTGTTCATTAAAGGTTAGACAGGCCTCAGCAATACAAGTTTTAAAAAATAAACAATTTTAGAATAACTTCAGATTTGCAGAAAAGTTTAAAAGACAATTCACAATTCTCTCATATCCATTACTGTGTTTCTCCTAATGTTAATGCCGTCATTACCATCATACATGTCAAAAAAAGAAACCAATACAGGCACACTAGTATTAACTCCAGATTTTATTCAGTTTCATCAGCTATTTCACTAATATGTTTTTCATTCCAGAATCCAATCCAGGATACACTGCATTTAGTCTGTGTCCTTAGTCTCCTCTTTGTTTCCCAGTCTTATATTGTTTCTCATCACCCTGACACTGGAAAAGAAGTGATCAATTATTTTGTAGAATGCACCTCAACCTGGGTCTTCCTGATTGTTTTTCTTGTGATTAGACTGAGGCTGTGAGTTTGGGTAACAGTATCACAGACGTGAAGTGCCCTTCTCATCACCTATCAGGTGGTACATGATATCAATGTGATTTTTTATCACTGTTGATGCTAACCTTGATCATTTGGCAAAAGTGGACTGTTTGCCAGGTTTCTCCACTCTGAAGTTACTATTTTTCCCTTTCCATGCTCTATTTGGAAGCAAGTCAGTCAGTCTAGCCCATCAAAGGAATTAGGATAGTTAAGGTCCACCTTCTGAAGAGGGGGAGGGTTATCTACACTTATTTCTTGGAATTTAGTAATAAACAGCTGTCCACTTCTCCAATTCGTTTTATTGCGGTTTGTAAAATCCTAGGATAGTTCAATAATAAATGTATTCAATTGTTTATACCACTCATAAATATTTTTTATACTTTAGCTTATAATCCAATTGTTTCAGTTTCTGCCTTTGGGAGTTTTCCAGTTGGCTCCTGTGTTGTTTTAATGTAAACTCATTCCTTTGTGCTGTTTTTTTATTCTGATAAAATATAAATAACATAAAATTTACAGAAATATGGAATGCTTAACTATCTGCATGTCATCCATGTAGAGGGGCCATTGAAATCTTTGTATTGTTCTAATTTTAGTATATATGCTGTTGAAACAAGTACCCTTTTGTTTTGTTTTTTTAATACTTGCTTAGTTTCTGACACTTAAGATGCTCCAATCATTCTGTGTTTTTCTTAACCCATCGCTACAATCAGCCATTTCTCCACATTCCTTTTATTAGAGTGGTATTAGAAACCATGATCTGGTGCTTTTTTTTTTAAGCTTGGTGTTAATGATAACTCATTTTTATCAACCTTTTCATTGCTCTGATTTCAAAAGATATAAATTTCTATGAAATAAATCAATGCATTCATTTTTCATTTAAAATCCCTTATTCCAAACTCATGTTAAACTTATAGTCTAATTTTCAAAAACATGTATTAAAATCTCTCAAAGTTGTACTCTAACCAAAAACTTCCTGCATATTTTATTTCAAATGTTATATGACAACATTTAGTTGTTATACTCTTAAAGACTGTCCATTATAAAATGTGCTTCTTTACCCTAATACCATTTCATTGTTATTAAAATTCTACTCCTGCTCTCTTCTTGTTTGCATAATTGTGACTTTAAAACCCCTTTACTTACAAATTATTATTTTATGTCTCATTCTTGTAACAACATAAAATAGCTGGATTTAACCCCATCAGTTTGTCTTTTTATTAAATTTATTCAGTTTGGTCATAATTATTATAACAGCTAATAGACTTCACGGTTTCCTTTCATTTTATTAGTTGTTAATTTTTATATTTCTATTTGCTTAACAATGTTTGAAGTAGCAATGAAAATAATTTTATGGCTGTGGGTCACCACAACATGAGGAACTGTACTAAAGAGTCGCGGCATTAGGAAGGTTTGGAACCACTGCAATAGAACTTTTCTTGTTTTGAGGCAAACCATTCAGAGACCCAATTTTCCACTTATTTGAATGTTTTGAAGTGCTGCTCAGAAAGTGCATGTGCCATCGATCGGAACAAGTGGTAATTTGCAAGGTGACTCTTATAATTACAAGAAAGACAGTATCATCTGAATATAATTTTATTCTCAAATACCATGAGACTGCAATTTATAATGCTATTACATATTGGTATCGCCTTTCTGCGAAACATTTCAGCAGTACTTATCAAGAGCATTAAAAACATTTGTAATCTAGCCCCAAGGATCCTTTCCCAGAGCTGTATCTTACTAGATGCATTTAGAGATTTATATACAAAGCTGTTCATCAGTGTGTCATATATAACAGTAAAAAACAACCAGAAATGGGCTAAAGGGTAAATAGATTATTTATCTACAGGACAAACTATTATGAAATCATTAAAAATCATTTTTAGAAGCCAACTTAATGGTAGGGAAAAAATGGTAGGGCATATTGTTAGGTGAAAATTCAGAATACACAGTTATATTTTATTATTATGTGTTATGTATATTAAAAGGTTATTAGGGAAAATGATAAGAAAGAAATGCATCATGATTCTAATAATAATTGTTTTAAAAATTATAAAATCTCTAATTATAATGCTTGCTTTTTCAAACACACCCCTTAAGTAAGCATTTCTAGTATTTCATATATATTCTTACTGTAGTTTTCAACTTTAGACCTTATTGTTATTTTAAAATTCACTACCATGTTTAAATTTGAAAATCACCATATGTTTCAATTTAATAATGGGTTAACGATTCTTTTTATCTACGGAGGGGGGAAAAACAAAACCAAAAGAGTTCTAATAGATTAAATATTCTAAATTCCTGGTACTGCCACAGCCACAGTATTCACAACCCATTGGTCTATGAGTCAGAAAGAAATTTGAGTCACCCAAGTTGTCAAAGTCACCCACAGCAAAGAAGCTGGCAGCAAATTTTTGGTTTGTAAGCTCTTAATCTTGTTATTTATTTATTATTTATTCCAGCCTGGTTTTACACGTAAAACACACCTCATTGTGCCCAGTATACAGTACAAATGAAAAAACCGGGGAAAACATTACCTTCTACAACTACCTAACTTTTTGTTTATTCAATAAACCATTCTCTTTAATAAATAAAAAATTTAGTTCAGAGATTTATAGTTCCTCATGTGTTAAGGGACATTGCTCCTCAAAGATCAGAAAAAAATGTGGCTCAGCGTTCACAAGTGGGGGAAAGGCTTATGTGAAAAAATTTACAAAGTAAAATTTACTGATGCAAAAGTTCTTCTGTTTATCTCTGACAAAGCTAAATGCAAAATAATTTTAGATAAGGCCCCAAAGGATTAATGGGCAAAATTCAACTTAACAGTAACTAAGCGACTGAATTAAATCACTCAGGTGTTTTCCCTACAAATATTTTAAAAACAGTTGCTGCTGCATATCTAGTCTCTGGCATTAATCTTAATATAAAAGACTGAAAGAATTTCAGTAGCTATTACTATTAAAGCAATTTCAAATTTTACAGTGTATAAGTTTTAAATAATTATCTGATTTGTTTCTCACAATCTCCTTTAAAATTGGGTATATATTACCAAACCCATTTTAGAGTAAGTTATATACCTATTGATAATGCAGGTTACTTAATTCTACATCTGACTCCTATTCAGTATTATTCCAACAAGAATGTGAGCTGTAAGCCTGGTCAGCGTGGCTCAGTGGCTGAGCATCGACCTATGAACCAGGAGGTCACTGTTCAATTCCAGTTAGGGCACATTCCTGGGTTACAGACTTGATCCCCAGTAGGGGGAATGCAGGAGGCAGATCAATAATTCTCTCTCATCATTGATGTTTCTATCCTTCCCTCTCCCTTTCTCTCTCTGAAATCAATAAAAATATTTTTAAAAAAGAAGAAGGATATAAGCTTAAGAGGCTAGTAGGAATTTTTGTCTGCTCCCAGAAGAGTGCCTGGCACATAGCTATGGAAATATATGCTAACTTTCCTCTACAGAAATATGTCTAAGAAGCCAAAACAGTGGGAGGAAAAATTAATATAAACCCTCCAAGGCTATTGTGAATAAGAGAATAATCTAATCTCATTGGAGAAGGGGGTGGGAGTGGGGGGAGCAGGAAGAGATTAATCAAAGAATTTATATGCATATGTGCATATCCCATGGACTTAGACAACAGTGCCAGGAAAGCCGGGGG